CTTCACGTCAACATTATGTTAGCATAATATGATAAATGACATTTTAATTCATGATAATTAGTTAACTATTAATCATAAGTGTTTATTTGATTAAAAATAAAAATATAGAGATTTAATTGAATGTAATAACAGAATAATTGTGTATTTGAATTTTCATGAATAATTTAGGGACTTTTCAAGTATTATGTGAATAAAATTCAAACACGCATCACTACTCATATCTTTTTAATTTTAAAAAATAAAAAAAAGTGAAAGTATTTGTTTTTTTAATGTAAGAACAAAATATTCTTATATAAGCTTAGAATTAGCTGAATGTATAAATTTGAAGTTAATTTATGTAGCTGCACGAGGGTTTATAGAATTACTGTTTTTGTTTCGTATATCTTATTTTACTTGTTAAGATATTTGATATGCTTAAATCATAATAGTATAACAATTAATTTTTTAGATTGAAAGAGCTAATGTATGAAGAGATTCTCTCTAGTATAATTTTTTTATTGTTAAGAAAAGGTATGATTCTTGCATCTCTATTACTTTATATTTTTATTTGTTAAGGTTGACTATTACATACTATTTTTTTCTAGTTTATTGTTATGAATATTTTTGTGAATATCTATTTATATTATATATATCTAAATTTAGATTTAGATGTAGATCAGTTTAGATTAAGATTAAGATTTAATATCTATCCATCAAACCTCTTAATATTATTTTTATCTTATAAATTCTATCTAGATAAGAGGTTATTAGCTTATAACTAGGGCTTCTTACTTTATTTGTAAATACATACTTAAATAAGATCTTCTTACTCCCTCTAAATACTTTTTCTTATATTTTTCTTATATTTTTCTTATAGTTGTTCTTTTAACTTATATTTTATAACGTATTATTAGAACAATTCTTTAATATGTTAAGTTTTGATATTATTTTGTTTTTATCATCTTTAAACTTCAAATGGATTTCAATAATTGGGTTTTGATTTTTGATTTTAACAAATTAGGAAAATGTTGGTATTATTTTATTTTCATCATGTCTAAGCTTTAAAATGATTTCAATAGTTGGTCTTTAATTTTTAGTTGTGGCAAATTAGGTAAGTTACTTGATATCTTTTTAATGTTTTTCATTCCCTAAAAATCAATCTTAATATGAAATTTGCTAACATGTATTACATATTATATTTTGTTTCTTGATTGAAAGGTGGATTTGCTATTATATAACTACTAATGAAAAATCCGTCTATTCCTTAAAGTGAATACGACATCATTTAACAATTATGGTTATAGACATAAAAGAGATCGTCATAATAATTTACATTAATCACTATTCTAATTCTAAGAATAACTTTACCCATTAAAAGTGAATGGATAACTTTATGTATCAGAAGTAGATGAATAATTTTATCCATCAAAAGTGGATGGATAACTTAACCCACTAACCCACCAAATGTAGATGAATAGCTTTAATTCATCAAAAGTGGATGAATCTTTTTAACATATCAAAAATGAATAAATAATGAAAAGATAAAAATGGACAGAATAAGAAAAATATGGAAAATGTTTTGTCATCAATGTGGCAAGAAAAACTATTGGTCATGTACTTGTATGTCTTGAATTTTATCAGGCACCATTGAAAGCTAAAACATATTATGATAATTTTAACCATGGTCAAGTTGATGTGTTGTTGATTTTCTTGTTTATCTTAAAAAGGGAATTTATCATATGATTAGCAATGAAAATATCCATTTTTGATTTTCTTGTCTATTTTAAAAGAGGAATTAATCAATTGATTGATAATGAAAATAGTCAAGAATGAAATTTCTCAGTAGTTTCTTGCTATATTCTAAAATAACTCTATTACAAAGATGTTTTTATATGTTCTCATTATATTGAAATCATATATTCTTATTATGTGTTTTAATTTTATATTTAATGTTTTTTATGCTATTTTGTAAGTCTATTATTATATTTATTTTATTGAAGAAAAATATGAATATTCATCTTATTGAATCCAAGATCAATGATGCAAATATATCTAGTAGACAGTGCTACAATACACATTATATACAAGAAATATTTTTTTCACTTGACGATGAAAGAAACCAATGTCAATACAATATCTGATCGTACAAGATTAATTGAAGGCTTTGGAAGAGTCAATATTTTACTACCTTGAGGAACAACGTTTATAATAGAGAATGTATTACTTTCAGCGTCTCAAATAAATTTATTAAATTTTAAAGATATTTGTCTGAATGGACATCATATTGAGATAGCACTTGTATGCATCAGGCTAATGAGTTACTATAAATTCTCCTTTATACAATTGGTTTATGATCAGAAACCAAATACTTTTCATTTAAGAATTTTTGGATATGCGATATATGTTTCAATTACTCCATCACAACACACAAGATAGGTCCTCAAAAAAGGTTGGGAATATATGTTGAATATGAATCTCCATCATAATTAAATATCCAGAACTCTCAACGAAGTTTGTCAATTATCATTTTGTTGAAACAATTTTTTCAACATTAGGGGGAGAAAATAATTAGCTAGAAAAAGATATATCTTAGAATGTATTATTATTATTATTTAGTTTTGATCTCCACACAAATCAGTGTAAACTTAAAGTTCAAAAAATAATCTATTTGTTAAATATAGTAAATTAGTTGCCAAATGTATTTACTGACCTAAAGAGAATAACTAAATTTCATATACCAACTGCAAAAGCTCCTATTAGAATTGATGTCCTTATTAGTCAAGGCATGCCAAAATCGTGAGAAACTAATCGATTCTAAAGATAAAATCTTTAAAAAAAAAGAAGCAAATGGTCAAAAAAAGGAAATAGAAACTCTAGAAGAGACCTTCTGACATAATTGATAAAATTTTAAAAGAAATTGAAGTACCGAAAATCAATAAAAATGAAGAGATTTCAATAAATTGTGTCATAATGGGAAAATATGAAACTGAAATTAAATAAATGTCAAATATATTTTTTTATATAATATAACACTCAATATTATGAAAGAAAATAAGGATTTTGAACTTACATATATTGAAAATTATAGAAATAGAAATAATTGGTTAATGTGGGAAGACGCAATAAAGGTGAAATAAATTTACTTGCAAAACATGACGTTTTTGAACTTGTAGTCTGTATACAAATGGTGTAAAGCTAATGGAATATAAATTGATATTTTTGAGAAAATAAAATAAGATTATAAGATATAAAGCATAGCTTTTATATATATATATATATATAATTAGGGGAAGGGGAATTCGAGCTCTGCTCTTTAGGCAAGGAGATCATGCACCAACCAATGAGCTAAATGCTCGGATGCATATAAAGCATAGCTTGTTGCACAAGGTTTTACCCAAAGACTTGGCATTGAGTATGAAGAAATATATTCTCTGTAGTAGATGCAATTATAATATTAGCTCGTCTGGTAGTAAATGAGAAGATTGAAATGTGTCTAATAAATTTAGTTACAGCCTATTTATATAACTTACTTGATAACGATATCCATATGAAAATCCCTGAAAGATTCAAATTGTCCGAAGTAAAAAATTTGAATTCCTAAAAAATTTATTCGATTAAATTAGATAAATTTTTATATGGATTGAAGTAATCTGAACGTATCTGGTATAATCTGCTCAGTGAATATTTGTTAAAAGAAGGTTATAAAAATGATATTAGATACTCATGAGTTTTTATAACTTGGAACTTCTAAAAAGTTATCCAAAATTGTAAGTTACTTGAAAAAAGAATTTAAGATAAAAGATTTTGGAAAAACAAATTTTTTGAGTCTTCAAATTAAATACTTAACAAATGAAATTTTTATTCATCAATTTAATTATATAGCAGTATTGCTAAAACAATTTTATATCAACAAAATACATCCATTGAGTTCACTAATAATTGTAAGGTTACTAGATGTGAAAGAAGACCCTTTCCGACCTCATGAGGATGAAAATTTTTTTTTTTGTCTTAAAGTCCTATATCTTAGTACTATTAAAACATTAATATATCTTGTTAACAATACATGACTTGATATATTATTTGTTATAAATTTATTAACTAGATATAATTTTCTCTAACTCTAAAATATTGGAATGGAATTAAACATATACTTCGATATTTCTAAAGAACAATGGATATAAGTTTATATTATTCAAATACATTAAAATTGATTTTAATTGGTTATACAGATGTAGAATATTCATCTTATTTACACAAAGCTTGATCCTAAAAAGGTTACTTATTCACATGTGGAGGTACAATCAAAGTGTTTTGTAAAATAGTTTATAGTTGCTACTTTTTCTAATCACGTAAAAATTTTAATAATTCATGAGACAAGTCGTGAATGTATTTAGTTAAAATTTGTAACTTAACATTTTTGAGGAATATGTGGTTTGTCAATCAAGAAAAAAGTTTCAATAACATTAATGAAGATAATACCACTTATATACCCCAGTTAATAGAAGGATACATTAAAAGCGATAGATCAAAACATATTTTGCAATGTTGAAAAGGTTGCAATGTATCATGGTTCACCATAGTCATGAATATCTTGAAAACTTCAGCAATCCGCATTTTCTCAGGTGTCAATTTTAATAGGAGGTAAAGGTGCTGGATGATCATGCATATCTTGCGGACGCTCTAGCAATGGTGCTTCAAGATGAAGAATTTTAATGACTTCTCCTGCATTTGGCCTTCCCCGGTCTTTAGGATGAGTACACCATAATCCCACCATCAACAAGCATTGCATTTCATTTTCAGAAAAAGATTTTCAATCTTCTATCGGGTGCATCTAGAATATTGCCAGCAAGATATAGTTGCCAATCCCACCTTACAAGTCCACCATTTTGATTAGGTTTTCTCCCAGTTGCAATTTCCAGGGCCACGATTCCAAATCTATACATGTCTGTTTCTTTGCGAGCTCTCTGTTCCTGCATATATTCTGGTGCTACATATCCAGGTGATCCGACAACCATTGTTGTTTAATTCTTAAGTCTCTGGTCCACGAGCTTGGCAAATCCAAAATCACCGAGCTTGGTAGTGAAATCCGTGTCTAGCAAGACATAAGCTGATTTGATATCTCTATGTAGGACGCACTGCTCTACGCCTTCATGAAGATAGTGAAGGACTGAGGCCAAACCCACAGCTATCTTATACCTAACATCCCAAGGGAGTGTTGGTTTTATTACCATGAAGATGACTCTCAAGGTAGCCGTTTGACATGTATTCATAAACAAGTAACAGGTCATTTTGATCATGGCACCATCCAATGAACCTTACCAGGTTTCCATGTATTAAACGGCTTATAATCTTAAGTTCATTGATGAAGAAACCCTCGGATTCAGCAAATATTCTTTTCACAGCAACTAAGCGTTGATCATCCAATGTTGCTTTATAAACACGTGCGGACCCTCCTTGGCCCAACCTTCCATCATCTGCGAAGCCATTGGTAGCTCTAAGTGGTTCTTGGCATAAGTAGTTCTTGGCATGAAAATCTTCTTGGTAAACATCCTCTCTCCAGATCAATGTAGAGAGAAGTGCCACTGTGTGTTTTATTTGCATGACCATTATCTGCTATATTCTTGGCCATCCTTTTTTTCAACAGTAACGTTCTTGTAACTAGGCCAAGCACTAAAAAGATGAAACAAGCTGAAACAAGCACTGTCACATGTGTCCTCCTTATGTTTTTACGATGGCTTACCTCCATGCCCTCGGTATCCAAATTTGAAGTGAAGTCCCATGATTTGGTTCTGTTATACTCCGTGCACTCGCCTGTACCAACTGAAAATCCAATCGTAATCCACTCTGGGAGATTTTTCTTCAAATCAATCTGACAAGAAAGAGAAGAGTTACCCATGAAAACAGGGTTGTCATCGTATGTCCAGAACACACTCAGGCTTTTGCAGCTGGCATTGTAAATAGTCCAAACATTCGCTAGTTTTCCACTGTTTGAGCCAGCATTCCATGGGGCCTTTTTGACTGCTGATAATGAGTTGTTGTTGATCCCAACACGCTCGAATGGTGGATCCCAATCTGTATTTAATATATCAAACTCAACCATGATGATGTGATCTGGGGATGTGCCATTCCTGGCAGTAGAGTTTAGTAGTCCAAAGACTCCACCAGCTGAGTTTGGGCGCATTGGATAGCCGGCAGGAGCAAGGATAAAGGCTAGTCCATTCCCATAAAAACTGTCATTTTGAGTAGTAATGATGAATGAGAAATGCACAGTGAAGTCTGCAAGTGTCAATGTACAAGAGTCCCAAAGGCGGACACAGTCGGCATAGACAGCCCGGTCAACACGACATAGATAATTTTATTAAACAAACTTTTGTAATTTTATTTATTTTGTCAAAATTATCGTATATTTATTTAATAATTATGCTAATTTTTAATTCTTTTAATTATAAGCTACAGGATATATAACAAATTTTCAAACTCATTTAGGAGAAATTTTGTTGTCCGGTGATACACAAAGATAATTTTTTTTTAAGCCTGACTGAAGGTCCATTTTTTCTACACCAAGTAGTATAAATACAAATGAATTGATTTAAAGTTGAAGGACCGAATTAGAAGATTTGATTAAGGGAGGGTATTTAAATTCCAACTAAAGTCTCTTTTAACTCTGCCTTCCCTCTCTCTGTCGAGTTCCGCTTCGGGGACAGAACAAAACTGAAAACGCCAGAACCCAACACTCTTTAATCGCCGGGGGTTACAGAACAAATCCAAAACCCTAAAAACGCTGAAGAATTCCGAATCCATTAAATTTCCACAAAATTTCATGTCCTTCCATTAACCCAACCCGAATCAAAAGATTTACTAAGTAAAACCCAAAACCAATATGGGTCGACCCGAGTCCTGCGTTCTGTTTTCCCAGACTTTCGTTCACACTCACTTGGACGAATACGTCGACGAGGTAACTCTATTTTTCGCCGTGGTCTTTATTTTTTAGTTTTTGCATTTTTAATTCTCAATTATTTATGTATTTCTTTTTCCAGTATAATTTTTATGAACTGAGGTAGCGATGAAATGTTAAGGAGGCTATCCCTTTTTGTAATTCGGGATTATATTGAAATGGTTGATTGAATGGGGTAGTACTTTTTTTTTTTTGAATTTAAGTTATGGATTTTGTTTTTTTTATTGTTTTTCTTCTCTAGGTATTGTTTGCTGAACCAGTTGTTATAACTGCGTGTGAGTTCCTCGAACAGAATGCGTCCTCGGCTTCTCAAGCAGTATCGCTTGTTGGGTACGTTGAGCTATACTGCTGTTTTTATGATTGACTCAGGAAAAATGTCCACTTGCATGATAATAGTGGCGTTTTGTTTTGTTTTATTCACGTGATGTGTTTGAGTTATGGGTTTTTCAAATTTAGGAAGTAGGAATAAGATTGGCATATCTGTCTTGTTAAATATAGTTTCATTTTTTTGTTGGTATGATGCAGTTGAGCTTTGAATTTGGCACTTACATTATGTTTGGTTGGAGGGAAAGAATGGGGAGGCTAAGGAAAGGTTAATGAGAAAGGACTTGTTCCCTCTCTGGTTGTGCTGTTAATGAAAACAAATTTAAGCAAGGAAAACCAATGTTGAACAATAAATTGATTGACTTGCTTTGATAGGTTGAGATGAGACTGCTCCTCTTTCGTTTTGCCCATTTATTGAAGGATTTTGTTTTGTAGGCATTGAAAGATGTAAATTTTTCATTTTTTCTTCGTCCAATTTCTCTCATCCGAAAAGTGGCAATATTTCTCTCTCTTCTTCTTATCCCGGCAATCTTTCTTCTTCCCTTTTCCTTCCTATCAAAGGACCTTTAGTATTAGAGACTATCATAGCTTGCATGAATATCTTGTTCCACATGAAAGATATGGAGTTTTGAATTTGTTAAATGCCAGATTTAAATTCTGAGAATTATGTTGATTAGAAACAGTAATTGGAGCATCACAAATTATATTGTTCTGTATATGGTCTCATTAGTATGAGACATTAATAAAAAATTTCAGCATGTGTTCCAATGTTGATGCTAGTAGAAGAGGTATACATCATTTTAACTGGTAAAATTTCATCATTTTGGCTATTGTGCTTCGCAATATGTTGGAAGACTGAGGCTTGAATTTTTGGAAATCCTGATTTCTATGCTGTAACTTGTACAGGGCCACTTCGCCTCCGTCTTTTGCTTTGGAGGTGTTTGTTCAGTGTGAGGGAGAGACGAGATTTAGGCGCCTTTGTCAGCCTTTTCTGTATACTCATTCTTCATCAAATGTACTTGAAGTGGAGGTGGTTCTAATTTTGCACAATTATGATTTATTTGAATTCTGAATTTCTGTTTTTCAATTTATGCTGTCTCACTTATTTATTGGTGTATGTATTCACATGTGTATCCATATAAATGTATTTATGTGCACCTATAGCTTGATTGATGCATAATGAAACGTTTTAAAAAGATGGATTGACTTATCTTTTGGGTAATTTGTTAGCATCAGCAATTTGATTGATGCATAATGTAATTTAATAGTTTGTTGAGTCCTTAAAGAGCATTTTAACATTTGTAGCATGAGATAGAGATCCTGGAAATATTCCTTGCATATGGTCAATTCTGGATATGTTCAGTTCAGGCTTTCTATCATCTCCTATTTCTGCTAGCCTCTCTTTTTGTTTTTTTTCCCTTTAAAAAAGCTTATTTTAAGCTTCCTAGCTGTGCATCACAGTGCTACTTTGTATTGCGAAAGCTATATGCTAATATGGGAATGTGTTTAAATTGTACTGTTAATTTTCTGCAGGCAGTTGTAACCAATCATCTCGTTGTAAGAGGCAGCTACCGCAGTTTAAGCTTGGTTATTTATGGGAATACAGCAGAGGATTTGGGGCAGTTCAACATTGAATTTGATGATAGCTCTCTACCTGACCTTGTTAGCTCTGCTGATGGGAAGCTTGAAGACCTACCTCTTGCATTACGCACAATTAATCGGACATTTGAGGAATCTTTATGTTCTCTGAATGTTATATCTTTACCAGTAGTTACACTAGATTTATCTGTAGAGGTTAATCAATTACTACAGCTAATGTTGAAAATTTTGGAATTGGCAAACGTTGGTTATGCAGTACATAAAGTTGTAAGTACCATAGCATCAGCAGCTTCTTTGGTCATAAGCTTTGACTTAGACTCTAATGCAATCAATCAGAAGTATCTTATATTGGGAAGAAACAAAGATTTTAAGGAGTTGGACCATGGTATTAGTGAGGCCAGAAAAGAGCTCCTTGAGCTCTATGAAGCTCTTCAATATAAATCCAGGAATGAATCATCTGACTCATGGACTGAATGCATCTTTATGGAGTCTGATGCTGATTTGGCTTCTTCCAAACAGTTGGTTGAGATGTTATTGCCGTACTTCAATTTCAATAGGAGCTCCTCTAGTTTTGGACATCACCAGCTCTCTGAGGTAATTGAAAGAGGCAGTTTTACTTGTTAAATCATATATATTTGCTTTCTTCTTGAATTTGAAGATAGAAAATTACTTCAGGATAAAAAGAATGCTCATTCATGTTTGATATGTTATCTTGATTTACAGAGTAAAAATGTCATCTTGGGGTTGAATGTGGCTCTTTTCTTGTGCTCCAGTAAGGAGAGCTGCTTTCACTTTGTCAACTGCGGGGGAATGGATCAGCTTGCATATCTTTTGGACCATGACATGCAGAAATCTACTGCCATTACATTGTTGCTACTTGGAGTTATTGAGCGGGCTACGCGACATGCTGTTGGATGTGAGGGATTTCTCGGTTGGTGGCCTCGTGAGGATGAAAATATCCCTTCTGGCACTAGTGATGGTTATAGTCACTTGTTAAAGTTGTTACTGCAAAAACCACGACATGATATTGCTTCTCTAGCTACTTATGTCCTTCATCGACTTAGATTTTATGAAGTTGTTTCGAGATATGAGGTATGCTTTTAAAGTTTGTTCATGGTGCCCATTTTTGCTGGTGCAATTGTGTATATCCGAGACAATCTTAATGTTACTAGCTTGTGATTTTATTCTTTACCAGTATGAAGTGTTATCCATACTGGGTGGCCTCTCTGCTGCTGCTAAAGGGACAAGTGTTTCTTCAAACAAGCTCATAGGTGTTGGATCACTACTCAAAAAGCTCCTGGTCAGTTGTCAATCTTTCAACTGTACTTCTTTTTTACTGTTACTTGTGAAATGCATAGTAGTTACTCTAAATTTAATTGTTATCATTTTTGTTCTTGCCATTAATGCAGCATTTGGTAAAATCACATGGTCGAATTGAGGATCCATCTCCAGTGGCCCGTGCAAGCAGTTTTTTGATTCTTGGTCAAACAGATATATTAGTATCATATAAAGCAACCAGCGGGTTGATTGCTTCATCAAATTGTTGCTTTTCGAATTGGGAAATTGACTCACATTTGCTGGCACTACTTAAGGTGGGTTTCTCAGTTACCTCTTTTGCAATTCAATTGATTTTTAAGTGTTTCATATTCATGCCTTTTGCTTTTGCATATTTCATTTTGCTTATACAAGATGATCTTTTTTCGAGAGAAATGATTTTATCTATCTTCGCAAATTTTATAATTTGAGGAAGAAATACAGCCTTCATGCTATCTGTGCCTCTGCTCGTTATTTCTTTTGGGATACATTTGGTACACAACATGATGAAGTGGATTCAGTAAGATTAGAAAGTGAATGAGAGCACCAAAAGTCAATTATAAACTGAAATTACTATTCTAACTGCCTAGGACACTTACCTTTGGATCAATAAGGACTTCTTTCTTGATGAAGAACCAATGACCTTAGCCTTTGGTTTGCGGAGGGGATAAAACTTGTCTAACCAAGTTATTGATGTGCCATAAGATTCCCTCTTCATAACCCGACCTTTTTTTTCTCTTTTGTGTTTCTGGCTATTGAGCTGATATATGTTGTCTGTTATACTGCCTGTTTTTTCTTTAGTAGTTATGGATGGTATACTTCAACTCTACGAGTAATTTATTCTTTTCCTTTTTCCTTTTGGGTTGAGTGGGTGGGTCTGGATCAGATTTTAGTGGTTCTATTATTTTTTTGAAAAGCTAGTGGTTCTATTATTAATACTGAAACTGTTTCACTGGAAGCAGGACAGGGGATTTCTTCCTTTATCAGCTGCACTGTTGTCAACAACCATTTTGCATTCTGAAGCTGAAGATGGTGTGAACATTTCTATGGAAATTGTGTCATCCATTGGATCCATAATCCTCTCCTTTCTTTCTTGTCGCTCAGGTTTTGTTAATTACTCTGCATCCAAGATCACGTTGTGTTATCAAGCTCAATAATGGTTGTGATTGATGCTGTGTGACTTCCGTTTCAGGCTTGGTTTTCCTGCTACATCAGCCTGAACTCACTGCTACACTAATTCATGCGCTCAAGGGTGCTGATGCCATGAGTAAGGAAGAATGTGTTCCTCTTCGGTATGCATCTGTTTTAATATCTAAAGGTTTTACATGCAGTCCGCAGGAAGTTGGAACCATTGTTGAGACGCATTTGAGGGTGGTTAGTACCTTTTCTTGGTTGACACAGATTTTGATAATCTTTTTTTTTTTTGGTTTAATTTTACTACCAATGTGTGACAAAGTATGACTGTTTTTGGATGTTTTATCATAGGTTAATGCCATAGATCGTTTGCTTTCGTCAACTCCACAGTCTGAAGAATTTTTGTGGGTTTTATGGGAGCTGTGTGGTCTTGCTAGGTGAAACTGGTTGATCTATTTCTTTAACCTTGGACTTGAACAACAACATTGATGGTTCTGACTGAAACTTGTTATATATTTGGTAGGTCTGATTGTGGTCGCCAGGCTTTATTGGCCCTGGGTTTCTTTCCAGAGGTATTGGCAAATATTCTATCTGACCCTGGAAGTTTATATTTGCGATGATGTGCAGAAACTTGGATTTTGTTTAATACTTCTGATTTATTATTAACAGATTAAAATAGGCTAACCAGCATTGATTCTTTTTAATGCCCACTTTTCCTTTTCACCTTTTTTGATAGGTTGTTTCAATTCTAATTGAAGCTTTGCATTCTATCAAGGAAACAGAACCTGCCATCAAGAATAGTGGTACTGCTTGTATTGTGTAGTTAGGTTAAATTAGTTGAAAAGTTTCTTGTTTACTTGCAAAATACATGGGCTTATGTGGGCAACATTCTGGATATTCAGGAGCTTCACCACTTAATCTTGCGATTTTACACTCAGCTGCTGAGATTGTTGAAGTCATTGTAACTGATTCAACTGCAACCTCTCTATCTTCTTGGATTGGGCATGCCATGGAACTTCATAAAGCTTTACATTCTTCTTCCCCTGGGTCAAATAGGAAGGATGCTCCTACACGGCTCTTGGAGTGGATTGATGCTGGTTTAGTTTATCATAAAAATGGGGCTATTGGGCTTCTAAGATACGCTGCTGTGTTGGCTTCTGGAGGAGATGCTCACCTTACCTCAACCAACATTCTAGTTTCTGATTTGACGGATGTTGTTGATAATGTTATTGGAGAATCTTCTAATGCTTCTGACATTAATGTCATGGAGAATCTAGGAGGCATTATCTCTTTAAAGTCCTTTGATGGTGTTAGCCTTCGTGACTCTTCTATAGCACAGCTGACAACTGCATTTCGAATTTTGGCATTCATTTCAGAGAATCCGGTATGCAATTTTCTACTTCAATGTGTAATTTAAAACTATACTGACTTGACTCATTATGTGTAGTTTTTGTTGTAGACTGTTGCTGCTGCTTTGTATGATGAAGGTGCCATTGCAGTTATCTACGTGGTTCTTGTCAATTGTAGCTTTATGCTTGAGAGGTCCTCAAACAATTATGGTAAGTTGATGAGTATTGCTTGGCGAGTGGGTAGCTTGTCTGATTTACTTATATTATGTAAAATGGAAACTGATGTTTTTATACTTAACTAGTTTTTGTGTCACGTGTTGCATGTGATTATTCATGTTAATTAAGAAAATTAACAACTACTGGCTTCCATGTTGATTTATAATTTGAATATTAGTAAGTTTTAATTATGAAATTAACATTGAACACTTACATATCAGAAAGATTTGTCAGAAACTTGAAATTAAAATTTGTAATCATAAAATATAAAATTAATTATTGTGTATATAACTATAAACTTTTGGTGAGATAGACGAACCTTTTCTTGGATGACAACACCATAAATTTGTAGAGTAAAAGGAATAAAAACATATATATATATATTATCAAGTATATAAAATTATAAATTTTTGATGAGATAGAATAAACTTTTCTTGCTTGCTAACACCATGAATTTGTAGAGCACAAAGGATAAAAATTTTAACTTTGAAAGTAAAATTCTACTTACAGAATAAAAGAAAAGAAAAAAGAAAAAGTAAATCTGCATGATAAGAAATCATACCGTAAAAAAATATTTTATGCTAATAGAGACAATTTTTTAAAGTTTCAGATGAAGCAATATTTGTAATTATTAAATAGTGATTTATAATAGTGATGACATTAAGTAGTAAAAAACTCTTAGGATTCTAATTTCTAACAATAATTGGAATTGTAGATTATTTAGAATAAATTAAGGTTCTGTATGGTTGATACTTTTGCTTTTATCTATTTGTCTTTTTTTTTTTCTTTTGCTTTTTACTTTCTATACAAAATAGCAAAAAGGAAAAGGAAATATCAAAAGCATGAACCGAAGAGAGCCTAAATTAGATCAGAACTTTGCTAGCATAGCATTATATTTCTAATATAGAATTTTTAATATATTTTTTAAGCCAAAAACTAAAACTTTTTAAATAGAAATCTAGAAGCATGCGAAGGATTTTATAATTGTTTATAATTATAGTGAGTTATTTGTATGTATGTCTACCATCTATATTTATATGTGCAAATCAATATGGGTTTGGTGAATTTTATAAAACAAATTATTACTAATACTATAAGTGTGGGTTTGGCACTTGGATAAAAGCAGTTGGACTTTGTTCAATTTAGCAGTGGTGCTTACTTCTTAATTTGGATGTCAATCCATGTCTCATGCTACCATGTACAATTGTAAATATTATTTATAGTGATTAAAAATATTTAAAATGCAAATGACAATTTAGAAATATAATGAACGAAAATGTTCATTTCATCAGTCAAAAGATTTTCTAACATTTTTGTTTTAATATATATTAGGGATATAGTTAAATTTTAATATGAGAAAAGTAGGATTGTATTACAAATTCAATCAGCATTCAATTATAAGGGTTTAGCTGATTAAAGTTTTTCTAGTAATGCTTTAACCATTTCCTAATTTTTTTGGGCTTATTCTGTGTTAAACCTCTCTCTTTCTCTTAAATGTGCTTGGAGCTTTGAAACATTATTGATATGCTCAAGGTTTATTGGGCTTTGCGGTTGCAAGTTTTCACCCTTATGTTAGCTTCATTTGCAGCATGTCTCTATCATATGTATTGCCCTTAAAATTGTGTTGCTTTGTACAAGTTTACATTTCTGTCATGTCTCTGTTCTATGCGGTTCAAGACTTCAAAAGTATTCCTTTTTCTTACCATCCTTGCTTTACAAAATCATTGTACTTTTTGCCTTAAACAGATTATCTTGTTGATGAGGGTACAGAATGCAATTCTACATCTGATTTATTACTGGAACGCAATCGTGAACAGAGTTTAGTTGATCTTTTGGTTCCTTCTCTTGTATTGCTGATCACTCTTTTGCAGAAATTGCAGGTTTGTTGCTTCTTAGTTGGATTGTGTCCTTAATGATATCTTTTGATTCAATCAGGAAGATATTTGTTCTTTCCGCAAAAAGCATAATGAAAAATTTAGTGGATTTATGTTAGATCGAAGATGCTATGCTACTCACCTTAGTCAGGAATATTGAAAGTGAATGAGGATAGAATTGATGCTGTCAGAAACTTTCATAGAAGATTGCAACCTTTTTGTTGTTTTTAACATTGATTCTTCCTCCTAATTGAGAGGACATTGGGCTAAGTTGTAAAGGACATGCTTGATTATGGTGGTTGTTTTAAGGGCGATGAGTTATTGATACCCTTAAGATCAGACTCTTTGGAGTTCAGATGAGAGTTTACTGCATTTTTGGGTGTTGTTAACCATTTTAAACATATGTCATCTGCCAAATTTGAGATTGAGTTGTCTTATCTAATATGTATAGGAAGCTAACGAGCAGCACAGAAACACGAAACTGATGAATGCTTTGTTACGACTGCATCGAGAAGTAAGGTAATTAAAATTTCCCTTTTCCTATGGAAGCTTTATCATACTATGCTCATTTTATGGAGTGAATGCACTAAGTGCATTGCTGTGTTGCAGCCCAAAGCTTGCAGCTTGTGCAGCTGATTTATCCTCTCCTTATCCTGATTCTGCACTTGGTTTTGAAGCTGTGTGCCATCTTGTAGTGTCAGCTCTTGCTTATTGGCCAGTATACGGTTGGACCCCTGGCCTCTTCCACTCACTTCTTGCCAGTGTTCAAGCTACTTCATCACTGGCCTTGGGTCCAAAGGAGACCTGCAGTTTACTCTGTCTTTTGGTATTTCAGTTTTCCATTTTTATTTAATACTAATAGCACCTTAGTCTCCCTACTATTGTGGCAATTTCATATAAACAAAAAATCTAACAAGTAAATGTTTTGTTGTGGCATATATATTGCCTTTGTTGGTGTTCATGTCACCAGAGATTGCATAGTCTCCTTATCAAGGAACTCTTCTTTTTCAGCAGTGATTGCTTGGTGTTTTCCTTTCTCTTATGTTTTGGGGTTAATTACAAATTTGGGACCTAAAGTATAGTCAAATTCTCGATTTGTATCTAAAGTTTAAAAATTCTCAATTAGGTACTTGAACTTTTCTTCTGTCCATTAATTTGCACACGAGATCAACACTGTTAATCAAATGGAGGACGTGTCTGAAACATCCAATAATATTGCAACATGTAGAATGTTGATGAGGCATTTTGAGACATGTGGCATGTTTTATTGATTGTTTTTGGACAAGTCTCATTTGACCAGTGGTGTTGGCTTCGTGTGCAAACTGATGGACATAAGCAAACTTCAAGTACCTATTTGCGAATTTTTAAACATAAGATACCAAATTGAGAATTTGAGTATTGTTTGGGTGCTAAATGTGCAATTAACCCTATGCTTTTAGGATGTCAACCTGGAAAAGGCAACACATGGTTGGTTGAAATGTGGCATCTTTGATGTTTCCTTTTTTTTCCTTTCATTTTTTTTTCTAAAAGCATTTCTAATATTTTCTCTTACAATATTTGAAAATTTTTTGGCACCTAGGAAACAAAGGAGAGAGGAGAGAGAAGAGCTATAGGGAGGGAATGAGGCATTAGAAGAGAGAAGAAATGGAAATAACAGAAAAAAAAAAGAAAAATGGACAATAAAAATGTTAAAACTAAAAACATTGGATTAAAGGTAAAAAGAGAACATTTGAATGAAAACATGATTTGTACTTCTTTTTCTATTTTTCCCTTATCTTCCATTTTTCTTCCCTCAATTGTTCTTTTCTTTTTCTTTTTAGTTATTTTATTTTTTTATATGATTTGTAATAACTGGAAATGAAAAAGAAAAGACCAAAGATTGATTTGATCAATCAATTTTTGTTTCTTTTTTTTATTAATCTTCACAAAAACTATAACTTCTAAACATAATATAGAGCTAATGGAGAAATATTTGTCCATCTTATTAAAAAAGAATTTTGCACCCACTGCAATGCGCTGGCCCTGTGCTAGTTATAAGTATCTAATTTGGACACTGTCCTAACTCCCATCTGCTACTTTTTCAGTAGCATTTTTCTGTTATCAGGAACATAAGACCCATCTCTCAACTAGAAACATGTTTTTGCTCCAATGCACATTTCCTTCCCTGCAGTATTTGACTGGTTTTTTCTTTTGTCTTCTGCATTGCAAGAATGATATGCTTCCTGAAGAAGGTGTCTGGCTTTGGAAGAATGGGATGCCCTTGTCGAGTGCCCTTAGATCATTGGCTATTGGGACTTTATTGGGACCTCTGAAGGAGAGACAGGTTAATTGGTGTCTGGAGCGTGGTCACCTTGAGAAGTTGCTCAACCAATTGACGCCACAGCTTGACAAAATTGCACTGATTATCCAACATTATGCCATCTCTGTATGAGTTCTCTAATCAACATGCTACGTTGGTTTTGTTATCATTTTAAATCTATGGTATTGCAGGAATGTTGAAAGGGTGGTGGCATGGTGTTATTCTATTTTGATAAACATGTTTTTTGTCATGTGCCTCTGCTAATATCACTTTTAAGCAGGCATTGGTAGTCATACAAGACATGCTTCGAGTTTTTATAATTCGCGTTGCTTGCCAAAAAGCTGAACATGCTTCTAAACTTCTGCGGCCTACATTATCATGGATACATGACCACATTTCTGACTTATCTTCTCCATCTGATACAGATGCTTACAAGGTAATGCTTAGATTTTTCACAAATTACGTTTTCGTGGTTGCTTGGACTGGTATACTAAAGAATTTCCTTCTCCCTCCTCTTTGCAGGTTTATAGATTCCTTGATTTTCTTGCTAGCTTGCTGGAGCATCCATATTCCAAGGTTTATGCTATCTGTTCGTGGATTTTTTTTCTTCTCTTCTCTCCCCTCATTTGCAATGTATTTTACTCATGGTGCCTTTCTTCCTATATCAGGCAGTATTGCGAGGAGAAGGTTTTTCTCAGATTCTAAAAAGAGTGTTGGAGAGTTGTTTTGTTGCTACTGGTTCAGATGGGAAGCAGATATCAGATTGTGAAAATTCTGCTAGTTGTGGGTTTACTTTGATTAATTGGTGCATCCCTGTTTTTCAGTCCATTTCATTACTATGTAGTTCTCGAACATTTTCCCAGTATAATGGGAGACATGATATGTGAGTTGGTTACTTGTATTTACCTTCTTTTCCCCTGCTTGCCTTTTACTTGAAATGCGAATTGGACATGATTTTTAATGCTTAATAATCTGTTTTCTTGAATTTATTGTGGTCTAGTAGGCACAAATTTGACAGCTTGAGCCCCAAAGAGTGTTTATTGTTTATAAATCAGCTCCTGAAGTTTTGTAAGGTAATTGGAAAAATTTAAAAACCTTTAAATTGACTATACAGTTCTCTTATGGGGGGAAAGAACCAGTCTAGATTTTACAGATAGCTATAGATAGGTAATCTTCTAATTGTAATGCCATTTTTTTCTCAGATCCTACCAGTTGGAAAAGAATTAGTGTCTTGCCTTCAAGCGTTTAAAGACTTGGGTTCTTGCACTGAAGGTCGAAGTGCATTCATGTCTGCTTTGCTATATGGTGGCAACTCTAGTGGTGGGGCACTTGAATCAGAGAGCGGACATGAAAAGAATGGGAACTTTCATTTTCAAAATGAATCTGAATTGAGAAAGTCTCCCCCCTTGCTATGTTGCTGGAAAAAGTTGTTGAGATCAGTTGATTCAAAAGATTCTTCATTAGCTTATGCAATTGAGGCAGTTAATGCATTGTCTTTAGGTTCTTTGTGCTTTTGCATAGATGGGAAAAGGTGAGATATGCACGTTTCACTGGCCTCTTTCATATATGTTGCTGCATTTGTAGACTTATAATAGACTAATGCTTTCTCTCATAAATTACTTTGCTTGTTCTCATGCTTAAGCTAGAAGATGGTAGGCATATTCAGTTTGCCACGTATGTTCAAAATAAGAAGAAAAGGTAATCATGGTTCGCTTTCCCCATGTTTTTCATAAAAAAGAAAAAAAATAAAAAGGACAAGGAAATAAATTGTACTGCTGAGTTTCAGGTATTGTAGAACAATTTAATCAGATTTTGGTAACATAAAACTCAAGTCTCTTTTTTGTGTGTTGGTATCTCACTTCATGCAATTCAAAGATTCTATTGGTCTTAAGAATTTACAGTCACTGCCTGTAGATGACAGTAAGTTTTTGTTTTCTTATATTTTAACTTATCATTTTATTGTTTTAGACCTTCTTAAATTTATAATGTAATCTTATGGCTGCAGGTATGTATTCAGTAAGAAGGGGATGTCTTTGTTTTTTAAGAACAGTGTTTTCCATTTTTGTTTTCATAGAAAATAGAGAACCCTGGCAAAAACACGTTTGGTGATTGAAAATGAAAATAAATTTTATAAAACGCAGCTTCAATAATGACAGAAAACTGACAACGATTCAAACATTTTTCGCCATTTTACATCGAATTAAAGAAGAGAGCAGAAAGCAGAAGACTCTTCTATTTTTCTCTCACAAAATAAATTTACTGGGAATCAGAAAATGAATTCAGCAAGCCGAAACAAGAAAAAATGAAAACAGAAAATTTTTCCAGAAATGCAACCTGCTTTTTTCTAGCTCTCTATAGTCACAAAGGCTTGTAATATGTTTTAGCTCAATCCATTATTCAATTTGACATCATGTCTGCATATAGTTTCCTCCCTCATCTATTTATTTGAAGAGTATTTGTAGCTAACTTATGGTGTGCCTTCTCATCAGTTTGAACATGAATGCTGTTGTTGCATTGAAATTCCTTTTTGGGCTTCCTGATGATATGGCTGGGATAGGTGGCTTTCCAGAAGAGAACATAAACTATATTCAGGAATTTTCTACTCTGTTAAGTTCAAGGATCATTAGTGATGACTATCAATCTCCATCGGATATGCATATCAGCATGTGTCAGGTATAACTAGGTCTACTTGCATGCTTTTGTTTCTCCTGATTTGATTTTGAAACCTGAACTTATCACTGATGCACAGGTTTCAGAGTCTGTGAAATCATTATTGTTATTGTTCCAAAAGTCAACTGGCACTGTTAAGGTGGATGATACCATTCTCAATGAAATTCTATCTCTTTCTCAAAATGATGTTCAAGTTCCTTTAAGAATTCATCAGATGACACAAGGTAATGGTGGAAAAGCGGATGAAGACCTTTACCTAGGAGGATTTGAGGACAAGTTTTCATGGGAATTGCCAGAAACATTACCTGATAGATTGCCACAGACAGCTCTTCCTACAAGAAGGAAACTGCAGCCAGCTGACAGCTCAACTAGGCGTGCCAGAGGAGACAATTCAGTGACTGAGATCACAAATCCAAATGCATTTTCACGGGGATTGGGTCCATCTACAGTCCTTCCTGGTACTACTCGAAGGGATACCTTTCGACAGCGGAAACCAAATACAAGCAGGCCTCCATCTATGCATGTGGATGACTATGTTGCAAGAGAAAGGAGCGTCGATGGTGTTGCTAATTCTAATGTAATAGCAGTTCAGCGAGTGGGATCTTCTGGGGGGAGGCCTCCCTCTATTCATGTGGATGAATTTATGGCCAGACAGAGGGAGCGCCAAAATCCTGCAGCATCAGTGACTGAGACAGCAGCACAATCTAAGAATGCAGCTCCAATAAATGGGACAGATAATGAAAAAGTGAACAAGTCTAAGCAGCTAAAAACTGATCTTGATGACGATCTCCATGGAATAGATATTGTGTTTGATGGTGAGGAATCTGAAGCTGATGATAAGTTGCCCTTCCCCCAGCCAGATGATAATCTGCAACAGCCTGCTTCTGTAATAGTTGAGCAAAGTTCTCCACACTCTGTTGTTGAAGAGACTGAAAGTGATGTTAATGGCAGCAGTCAATTTTCTCACATGGGTACACCTTTAGCATCTAATGTTGATGAGAATGCCCAAAGTGACTTTTCTTCGAGGATGTCAGTTTCACGTCCAGAAATGCCTTTAACTCGAGAACCTAGTGTTTCTTCAGATAAGAAATTTTTTGAGAAATCCGAGGACTCGAAGATTGCTATTTCAATTAAGAACGCTAGCAGGTTTGATTCTGCGGCAGGAGCAAATAGTTCAGGGTTCTCTGCCCCAGTTTATAGTAATACACCTCCAACATCGGTACAGTTGCCAGCAGATTCAAGGATAACCCCGCAAAATTTCTATCCAAAGAGCAGCCCACAGTATGCTAGTAACATTCCTGTGGCAGTTGGTTCTCGAGGAATATATGAGCAGAAAGTTCTGCCAAATCAACCACCTTTGCCTCCAATGCCTCCTCCATCAGCAGTTCCACCAGTAAGTTCTCATACTCAAAGTTTTATGCCTGACATATAGGCATCACAACTGACAGCTTTGCTATTTAAGATAATTTGTTGCTCACCACTTTGGGTTGAGGTCTACTTGTACTTTCTAAATGATCAACTTTTCTTTCTTGCAGGGCCAATCCGATTATTTATCTGCAGTTAGTGGTAGTCCCTCATTGTTGCAATCTTCCCTTTCTGTGTCAGATTCCAAGTTTATGAGGACCTCTATGTCTTCGCCTAGTGGAAATACTAGGCCTCCCCCACCACTTCCTTCAACACCACCTCCATTTGCATCTAGCCCATATAATTTAGCTTCAGTAAATGCTTCTACTTCCCAACCATCAGTTTACAATCACTCTGGTATGGGGAAAACTGAACTTCCTCAGAGCTCCATTGGACCTACTATTGATGCTCGACTTCCTGCTTCTGCTGCTGGTTTGACTTCCTATCCTCCGCCACTCATGCAATCATTAGTTTTCAATAGGCCTGCTTCAATCCCTATTACTCCTTATGGAAGCACTCCTGCACAGCAGCAGGGTGAGAACCCTCCTAGCTTGTTGCAGAATCCCTCGATACCTCAGTCGTCTATTCAGTCAATTCATTCTCTTGCTCAGTTGCAGCCCCTGCAGCAGCTTCAACGTCCGTTGCAGCCGGCTCAACATCTTCGGCCTTCCATTCAATCTTCACAGCAGTTGGACCAAGGGGTGTCTTTGCAAACCCCTGTTCAGATGCAAATGCAGTCATTACAAATGCTTCAACAATCTCATGTTTCTCCTGTTAATCCTTATCATCAGTCACAACAGCAGGAGTTTTCACCAGCACAGCAACAGTTGCAGGTTGAGCTTTCTCAACCTCAAGTTCTACAGCAAGGAGGTGGTGTATCACAGCAGCAACAAGATTCTGGAATGTCATTACATGAGTACTTCCAGTCTCCAGAAGCTATTCAGGTATGTGTTGCATAAGGCCTGGTTTAGCTTTGCTATTGTGCTGGAAAAAGTGCATTTGAAAAATGCTGAGAAATTGCTATGAAAATTGTGACTTAAGATTTTAGAGTTTTTGGTATCGTTGTGAAAGTGTTGTGGAAGTTAAAATGTCGAAAAAGAACAAGATGTTGAAAAGTAAAGAATAAGTCATTTTCAGTACTATTGAAGTAAATTATTATGAAGATGTATCAAAAATAAATTATTGTGAAATTTAATTTAAAAAATTTATACTAACATATAATTGTTTTGATTTTCTTGAAAAATTTGAATTACTTCAAGCAAAAGTAGTTATATTCCCTCTATATTTTCATCTTAAGATCAAAATATGTCAATATATCAAAAAATGGTGATGCTATATATTTAAAATATTTGAAATAGAATCAAAATTATTTGCGATAATTTTTTGTCATATTGCAAAATATTATGGGTATTTTGTCATTCCCTTCTAAAACTGTATATTGCAAACTGGGAAAGCACCTTTTGTGGTGGTTCAACTTTTGCTTTCAAAAGGATCATTTAACCCATACTATATTGTGTTTGGTATTGTGTTTTTGGAGCCAACCGCAATGGCAAAGGAAGCCTAAGTGTATAAACCTATGAAGAAGGAATACATCTGCCTGATATTTCATATCAATAATTATCTTTACTCTTCCTTAATGCAGTCTTTGTTGAGAGATAGAGAGAAACTTTGCCAGCTTCTGGAGCAGCACCCAAAGTTAATGCAGATGCTTCAGGTGATCTTTTATATTTTATTCTCTTTTATCTTTTCTCCTTATTAGCATGACATAGCTGAGTCTGTTATATTTCACTTAGAGGTGGCAATTTGCGGATCAACTTAGGTATGGGTTTGGTCACTACGGGTGAGATCATTTTGGGTCAGAGGGAATTCAAGTCGTTTTGGGTTTGGATCATTCTGGATTTGAATCATTTGGATTAGACATTGATTACTTGGGTTCAGGTCATTTCAAGTAAACTTTGTTGACTTTTAAAGTAAAAAAATCAATTAAAGCTCAGATCGTTTTGCGTTATTTGGGTTTGGTTCATTTCTAATTCAGATCAAGTCAGGTTTGGGTTATTTTGGATATCGTAGTAGGTTCAGTTCAATTCAGATTTGTATCGCTTCGGCTTCAGGTTGTTGACTTTTTCTAGTCAAATTGGGTTGGGTCGGCTACAGATTTGGATGGTTTGGATTGGTTTTTTGAATTCGGTTCAACTATGCTAATTCTAACTTACTGCATCTTCTGTTTAATGGTCTGTTGCTTGCAAGTTAGTTCTGTAGTATATGGCTTGCAGCATACAAACATTGATGCATATTATATACATTACTATGTACCATTTTAACGTGGTTGCTTCTCATGTTCTAACAGGAAAAGTTAGGCCAGCTGTAGCAACACGATATGGGATTGTGAGGATGCTTTCTTCAAATTTTTTGTAGCATACTTGTGACCCATAATCATTGGTCCCAAGACCCCCAAAGCACAATTTGATTCAGATGCAGTCGCCTAATTAAAACTTTTCCACTAAATTTTGTATGAGTTTGGACAATATGTACATTCTTGTCCATCTGTTACTAATTTGTCTTCTTTATTTTGTGATTTTATTCATGAGTAGGGAAAATTTTCCATCCCTAGTTTACTTGTATGCTTCTACTAAACCTGACAATTTCACTTTGTATATGTAGCAACAGTTGCCAGACTCCACATTTGGTGCTGAGATTGTAGACTTCCTTAGGGTTCAACTATAATGTTATATGCCAATCTATATACGAAAATCATCAGCTTAAAATGTTTTTGAGTTGAAATTTATCAAATCCTTAAAATCTTTAGTTTTCCAGATAAGGAAATTACAGGTGCTTCGGTTTTCTTGGCTTGCTTTTTTTTTTTTCTGTTTTTTGTTCTTTTCTTATTCTGGGAATTTTTTTTTTCAAATTTTGTGGTGATTTTTTTTTTACTTTTAGTATCTTTTTTCTTGTTCTTTGGGGAATTTTGCTTTTTTTTTATTTTTTATTTTCTTGGATTATTAGGGATTGTTATGTAATTATTGGGGCTTGGAATTTGATGTAAATCTTGAATTTTCTGACTATTTTTGTGTATTTTATTTAATTTTTTGATGGTCGGCTAATGTTTAGGCTTCAATGTCCAAGTGCAATGCAAAGCTCACTTATGATTTCCTATAGAATAATCGAAACCCAAATTAATAAGAAAAAAATTACAGTTCAATATTTTATTTAGTGATAAGGATATTTAAATTAATCAGTTTTAACAGACATTGATTTAAGTTAATTAAAATTTACTTAATTTTAGGACATATTTTTGTATATAATGAACTATCCTCACTAAATTTTAAAAGATATCGTATTTATATATTAATTGCAATTTTTTCAATACATATAAGTTTAATTGAATAAAAAAATAAAAAAGATAACTGCCTTTTATTTCAAGTAAAGCGGTCGGGTCAATGGTCATATGTGGACTTGTTAGATTCCTTATATTGACTTGTCTTCTTTGGTAACCGATTACTTGTATTGGTTCATCGATTAATAATCTAATGCTACCTGCATTTTCTCAAAAAAATATGAAACTTATTTCATTAAAACAAAGAAACAAAGCAATTTTCATATTTTTTTTGATAAATATTTTAAATTTAAATTTCTCATCTCACGTAAGTAGATATCTAAATAATACTTAGTAAATAATAAAAAGCAAACATATGTCTCAATAAAGTTTTTGTAATTGTTTACTCCATTTAATCTTTTAAAGGGAAGTATGAATTTTAATAGTAACCAAAATAGCTCTAATAATGTAATTTGCAGCACAATTAAACATTTCTTCGATGCAAAATGTTGCCTATCCGAGTCTTTTGATCAATAGTAAATGCATGTAGAGGTGGTAATCGTTTGATCATTTTGAGATGGGTTATTTCGATTTGATATTCGAGTTATTTTAATTCTGACTCATCTCAAGTTCAAGTTATTAGAATGAATTATTTGAAAATAGATAATTTCGAATCAATTTTTTTGAGTTATTTTAATTTTAAGTCAATTTGAAATTAAAGCATTTAGCTAAATTGAATTTATAAGATAAAGGCAAAGTTAAATGCAGAATTGGAATCACTTAAAACTTAAAAAACCTTAAGAACGTATATAAAAATTTATATATTAATTTAAAAATATTCTAAATCAACTTCACTAAAAAAGAAGTATATAGGGTCATCATATAAATTTAAAAAATTAAAGAGAAATTTTTTGATAATCATAATAGTTAGTGAATGCATCACATGGGTTTGGACTTTGAAGTGAAATATTGTTTTTAATTATGTTTTATGAGAACCAAGAGAACAAAGTTTGAATCTTCTGCTAATTCCTTTAAAATTTTAAAATACAAAAATATAAGAGGAAAGTTATTTCTCTTTGATGTTTTGATTTGAAATTAATACTATTTTCTTGGGCAGTTTGGTAATAATATTTTTCTAAAACATATATTCTTTCCAAAATCACAGACATTGAATGGCATATACATAAGAAAAGAGAATGAGAAAAAAGGTAGGAATATAGGAAGATAATGTTGATGAAGAAAAGCTAAACAATTGCTCAAATAATAAAAAAGAACAAAACAGTATTGGAAGCATAATATTATAGAATGTCTCGTGTGCACATTAATTTTCAATATCTAAATTAAACAAAAGGTTGATATTATTTTAAATGCAAGATATATAATTTTTATAGAAGCTATAAATCTTATTTGATGCACTGCTTTAAAATAATAATTCTCAACGTAAGATTAAAATTATCTAATGTTGTAAACTTAGTTTAAACGATCAAGAGATAATAAGAATTGAATATATGTTTGTTAATTAGTTTACTCCTTTAGATTTCACTAAATATTATGTAGTTTTTGTCAGTGATTTGTTCAAATAAAACAGTTTTTTTTTTCACATTTTTAAATAAATAAATGAAATGATAATCACATGTTTTATAACTAAATAAATTTTGATAAAAAGCGATGAAAATAATTTTATGAATATTAGTTTTGCATTATATTTAAATTTTTAATTAGAAGTGTTTTATTTGATCATATCAATGACATACTGATATTAATATTTTAATAAAAACTTATAAAATTATGAATTATATATTTATATATATATATAAATAAATAGATAAAATTTTGAGATAAAAAAAAAATCCTAATGACATTATGTGCTATTTGTTATTTGTTTGATGTAATTTGAATCCTTGATTTATATGTGAATGTGGAAAACCTGTATTGATGAGATATATACAAGACTTAGTTTATAAATATAGTAAATATAAAGTTGGTTAATTTAGTTAATTGATTTTAAATTTTTTTAACTGAACAGATATGATTTAACCGATCCCTTAACTGAATTAATTATTTTAATCGAATAGAATTAACAGAGCTTTATTGATTAAATGGAATTTTAACTCACTTCCTACTCATTCCTAGTTAAGATGTATCTCAGTGCTTAATGAATATGGTCCACTATAACCGGCTGGTCCGGTTGAACACTACACAGTGACATTTCAACGCGTAGAACTGACCTTTCTTATACTATTTATGATTCTTGCAAGATCTTTGCTTTCTCAGTTTCATGTTCCAATAAACGGATTGCTCTGTCTGAAGAGAAACAAAATCATGTTAGAAGATCACAAGAATGAAGCACAGTGTTTCAGGGTTGTTCATATATTATTGCTTCTAATGATGGGTAAAAATCCGTATCTTATTTCTCTTTTCCTACACTTTCTTTGTGTTTATTACTCGTCTTCATATATATATATATATATATGCTACTTTTCTCTGCAATAAGCGCATCATCAACTCAATATTTTTTGTTTTTTGGGTATGTCATTTCTTGCTGCTGGCTCTTGCTTTTTTGAAATGTTTTTGTATGCTTATTGTTATGAGGAGGACACCAGTGTGATTGATCTAGTCAATCAAACCAATAAAAGAGAATTTAGCAAGCACGGCATAAAAATATAGAGTTCCAACAATTTTACTTAAGTTGATAAGAAAAAAAAAGGGATTTTATCAAAGATATGCAGTCAAATCATAGAAATATTATAGTTTGTGGACGATGGTATTCACATGTTAAATTGGCTACGGGCATTTCTAAGTTTCAATGGAGCGAAGAGGAGGGTTGAGCTATGCACGGGTTTTTTTTTTGAAGATTATGGTGGTAATGGATGGGCTCATTCTAAGCAAAGGTAAGATAGACACACATGGCTTTGTAGGATTTAAGGCAGATCTGCTTTAACAAAGCTAAGATTGGTGGCATCTCATAATTGAGCCTGTCTTTTTGACGATAATGACAAGAGTAAATCGGCGAAAGCAGAAATTTTAATCCTCGGGTATCAGTTGGGTCCCTTTTTGCCTCCTGGAAATGTATGATGCAGGCAGTGGATGCTTCTCATGCTATATATATTGTTTCGTCATAAAAGACTTTTGACTTGTTGGAGAACCTTATTTGGTACTATTTGTTGTATATAATGAAGCCCAAGGACATGGGATTGGTCAAATTCGTTAGCAACGTATGCAATTATAACGCATTGCCTTAAAATATAGTTACTCTTGTGCTCAAGAAAACACAACAACTCCAAGGATTTGATTCCTCGAACAAAAAATTGCATGAATTCAACTCTCTGCTGTCCTGATTGAATGAAACTTCGAATTGCTTTCAGAAGATTCTATTAACTAGATCCCGGAGTGTGGGTATCTATTTTTAGTTCCAGTGGATTTGAGAGTCATCTTTTTTATGAAACCTCAGAGCTGACATTTTTGTTCTATGGAATTGCAGCCGGTACTGCTATGTCAGAACATTCTCTTGACACAGACAAAGAAATCCTGCTAAATCTGAAATCTTTTCTGGAGGAACGAAATCCCATAAACAGAGGAGGGTACGAGAAATGGAACCAATCGAGCTCAAATCCATGTGACTGGTACGGCATCTCATGCTCTCCGGACGGGGCAAGAGTAACTGGTTTAGACCTCTCTGACAACCGAATCTCTGGGGAAATGTTCAAGAGTTTCTCAGCCTTAAACCAGCTTCAATACCTGGATCTCTCAAAGAACACGCTACAGGGAAAAATCCCTGATGACTTGAGAAGGTGCCACAACCTTGTATACCTCAACCTGTCACATAACCTCTTAGAAGGTGCGTTGAACTTGGCTGGGGTGACCAGTTTAGAGAAGCTTGATTTGTCCACAAATCGGTTTCTTGGGGACCTGCGGCTTAGTTTCCCAGCAGTTTGCAACAATCTAGTTGTTGCAAACCTTTCAATAAACAATTTCACGGGTAGAATTGATAACTGCTTTGATGGGTGCAGGAATCTGCAGTATCTGGACTTGAGCTCCAATAATTTTACTGGTTACCTTTGGACTGGGTTTTCAAGGCTTGCAGAGTTCTCAGTTTCTGAAAACTATATTACCGGGCCAATTTCTGCATCTAGTTTTGAGGAGAATTGTAGTCTTGTAGCTTTGGACTTATCTGAAAACAATATCCAAGGTGAAGTTCCCATGCAGATTTCGAATTGCAACAATTTGGTTGTCCTAAATCTCTGTGGAAACAATTTTATAGGGCCAATTCCCTTACAGATAGGATCGATTTTGACCCTGGAAGGCCTGTTATTGGGTGGTAACAGTTTTTCTAGAGTGATTCCAGAAACCCTTTTGAATCTGAAGAACTTGGCATTTTTAGATTTGAGCAGGAACAATTTTGGTGGGGAAATACAGGACATTTTTGGGAGATTTACGCAATTGAATTCTCTTGTACTTCAGGGGAATTTATATACAGGTGGTATAGTTTCTTCTGGCATTCACAGGCTACCCAACATTACTCGGTTAGACTTGAGCTACAACAATTTCTCCAGCTACTTGCCTGTTGAAATCTCTCAAATGCTAAGTTTAAAGTTCTTGATCTTGGCTCACAATCAATTTACTGGTACCATACCACCGGAGTATGGAAACTTATCACAACTACAAGCCCTTGATCTCTCCAACAATGGACTCATTGGATCAATTCCGCCTGCCCTCGGAAACTTGACCTCTCTCTTATGGTTAATGCTTGCAAACAACTCACTCACTGGTGAAATACCGCGTGATATTGGAAACTGTGGTAGCTTATTTTGGGTAAACCTTGCTAACAACCAACTTTCCGGGGCAGTCCCTCATGAGTTAACAAATATCGGAAGAAATGCTAGTCCAATATTTGAATCAAATCGGCAGAGTAACCACATGATTGCTGGTCCGACTGAGTGCTTGGTGACACAGAGGTTGCTTAGTGTAGAAGGATATACACCTTTTGGTTCTTTATACACCATTCCTACAAGGAAAATTTGTAGAAGGATATGGAATCAGCTTCTGAAAGGATATGGCGTTTACCCAGTATGTGCTATGGGTTCATCAGTGAGGACATATCAAATCTCAGGATATATTCAACTTAGCGGGAATCAACTAACAGGTGAGGTCCCTCAAGATATTGGCAAGATGAAGAATTTTAGTGTGTTACATTTAGGTTCCAATGAATTCTATGGGAAACTGCCTACAGAGATTCGAAATGTCCCACTTGTAGTCCTAAACATCTCCGGAAACAGATTTTCAGGCCAAATTCCTGTAGAAGTTGGGAATATGAAATGCTTAAGGAGTCTTGATTTGTCACGCAACAATTTTTCGGGCACAATGCCCATGCAGCTTAATAACCTGACTGAGCTGAGCAATTTCAACATTTCATTCAACCCATTACTTGCTGGCAGAATTCCAGACAGAGGGCAATTGGGAACATTCGGGAAAGAGTCCTTCATGGGAAATCCACTGTTGCACAGTCCATTGTTCGACTTGGACGATCAACTTCCACCACCACCACCATCAAACTGGCAGGATGAAAATGACATTGGAATGGATGGGGATGGCTTGAACTCTGGAAATGGATTTAGTTGGGAAGCGTTGTTGATGGGGTATGGATGTGGAATGGTATTTGGAGTGGCCGTGTTCTATATTACTTTTCGAAAAGGTGAACCAAATTGGTTTGCCACCATGGTTGATGGCATCCATCAATGGAGGGCACAAAAACGGAATGCTTCTCGCAGAGGTGATGGGAGAAAGATTTAGTAAGTGAGAGTGGTGTACCAAGGCTTGTCTTACATTTGTGATTCTGAGTTCAAGCTGATTGTTAGCTATGTGCATAACAATACCAGCAGTAAAGTATTGGCTGAAGACCACTTTGAGATGTTTAATTAAGATGCTGTAACTAATGTATTTACTACTATTCAAAAAAAAAAAAAACTAATGTATTTACTCTTTCATGTCCCCTGCTTTAGTATATCAGTTTGAGATCCTTCTGAATCTCCTTAATTAATGTCATAAATCTATAACCCTTTTACAAAGAGAAATTAAGTAGCTGGAGGTTATATACTAGCATTTGCTAATGATGGCATAACATAATTGATTAGCTCCTCATCAAGGGTCTATGTTGATCGGTGCTCTAGTCTATATATATAGATATGCATCGAATTAGGAGCTGCTTAGAGATAGCGTTTTCAGATATGTGTCTTCAATTTCTTCAGCATTATGATAAAATGCGTATACATGAAACCTGTAAAACCTACATGATCCAAGAAGCGCATGATCCCAGAGATCCTCTGTTAAAGTTATCATTCGACAGGCCAAAGACATTCCTTCGTTAAGAAACACACTAGCCACGTGCATTGCCCGTGTGCATCTGTTTTATATAATCTGTTCAAACTGTGAATCCCCTGCTAGGGGGGGCTTTACCCGAAAGGAGGACATTAACATCTCTGCATTTGGGTTAAGTGAAAGTGTCATTAACCAGCTTATTTATTTTTCATATCTAGTTTGTCTGCCGTTGAAAGAAACTTGATTGTGCCTCTCGAGGCATTTGCTTCCTTTACCTCCTTCATTCCCATCTATGGCATCATGCCACATGTGATAAACACCGACACACTGTATTAGCCAATGGGACTATCACACACCACCCGTCATCCTTAACGGCACCGGAACCCCAACTTGCCTGACACACCCTCACGTGCATGGCTGCACGCACGTTTCCAAGGCCCCATAAGCATTCATGTGCCCTCAAACCAACTTCACCAATCCATTCATGTGCTTGATTGCTTACACATTTCCATTTCCCCTTATAACTCTCTTGACATTGTTTGCTTTTCTTCAATTGAACCTCCCTCTCTCCAACTCCCCCAAAGAGAGAGAGTGTGTCTAAGCGCGCTAGCTTTCTTGATGAAGGCTATGCAGTTCAATGCAAATGGTTATGGAGAGAGGATGGAAGCCTAGTGTGGAGATTTCACCAAATTGTCCACGGTGTGGTTCTTCAAATACCAAGTTCTGCTATTACAACAATTACAGCTTAACTCAACCAAGGTACTTCTGCAAAGGCTGTAGAAGATATTGGACTAAAGGAGGATCACTTAGGAACGTGCCAGTTGGAGGTGGCTACCGTAAAAACAGAAGAGGTAAGTCCTTAAGGCTACCAACTGATGGTGTGCCCTCTAAGGAATTGTCATGTGGGGTACTTCCACCTGACTCAATTGGGCATTCCTCTGGTAACAAAGTGAATGCCTCTGCTGAGTCTAATAGCTCCTCGGCGATGTCTGATGGTTCTCAAATTGATCTTGCACTCGTTTATGCAAACTTCTTGAACCAACACCCAGAAAACAAGTCTGGTTTTGAAGTGCCAGATCAGTTGCCTAGTGAATTTGATCCATCTCTAGAGTTTTCAAGCTTAACCAACACAAGCATGGATTCAAGTATTCAGCTGCCAAAAGAAAATGGTCTAATTGTATGCCTCACTCGCTCTGACTTGTCCACAGAAAATCATTTGAGCAACAATGATCAGGTATACTATTCTGGATTAGAATCAGTTCACAAGCATCAAGATAGAGTTCAGCAATGTACATGTCAAGAAACATGTAACTTTGCATTGCCACCATTGCCAGGGGACGATTTATTCTCTCAAGAAACACTGTGGACGAATTCTCATTCCTCGATGAGTCAAACCTTGCAAGCAACACAAGAGCCAGTTCTAGGACCTGAAGTTCACGATCCAAATCTATTGTTTGGTAATTGGAGTCCATTTGATTTGTCTGGTGATGATACTTTCTCCAGGATTCACTAGCCTTTCCTATCAATATTTTTATTTTTATTTTTTGGTTCTTCAGTTTTGTCTGTTTTTCTCCTTATAAGAATGTATGGAATCGAAAGAATTGAGATGAAATGATATCAGTATATGAACAAAGTATAAGTTCAAAGAAATCAAAATAATTAAAAGCAAATTAGTGAAGTTGGAGCAGCTTATGTTTTACTTACAAATAGATTCTACAATTCATAGTTCCAAGAATTAGGCTCACAGCAAAATCTGTGGTTCCTTAAATTAACGCAGAGTTCATTGTTCAAGAAAATAAAATCATTAGTTAATAATTTCAAACTTAGATCATTTTGAAAGTGCAAAAATGTTTACCATGAAAAGTATGTTTGTTAAGGGTAGCTTATCACAACATGTATAATATATGTGGAAAGTAGGAATTAACCAATAGATAACATTTTAGGTACAAGCATTATATATGTACACACAACATCCTTTTCTATGATGCGTGTGTATGTAAATTAATCCTTATTGTTTAAGAAATGAAATACAAATACTAGCAGACTATTGGATCATTTAGAGGTAGCGCCTCCTTCATAATTGTAATTCAAACATAAAAAATTACAAATAAAAGCTAGCAAGGAATAATGGGCAAGCGAGGGAGTTTTGACAAGGGTCCTGTTCGTCCTGTAGATGATGAAGGCTGGAACAGGAGGGCTACACTCCACATATTAATATCAACAACACAGTGTTTTCGTTTTTTATTATGCAGTTGGGGCTCTCTAGACCATCTTCAAATTTGAAAAATTCAATATCAGGAATCAAATTCAAACTTCTCTTAGCTACCTCATTCTATCATAATTCAAAAGCTCATTTGTTGGTGACAGAAATCTCGAGTTTCAAACTTCCCTGGCACAGTCCATTGGGATTGACAAAACCCATGGTGGTAGCGAGCTTCACATGATCCTAGAAGCACCCAAGATCCAAGAATAACGAAAACTACCTCTCCCAAATCGCAATCATATTAGTGTTGACAATATTCACAGAGTTAACAGTCCTCAACTTTGATTGAATCTATCTTTGAACAAAACAAAATTATACTAAAATGGTGTGTATAACATGTAAGGTTTCTTTAGTTTGTGTATGTGTGTAGTAATAAAATATAATAATAGTTAATAAATCATCAAAGGACGCTGCATAATTCATCGTTCGAGTAGGGCACAATCAATCTAATGATGTCATAGTTAGAGATGAGACGTGGTCGATTGTGGATGTTTCATGAATCAGAAAAGTCGTCGGACGGTGAGGTGAGGGTCTGCTAATTATTGGTGTGTCGTAGCCGTAGCTGTAGCCTTACCATGTGCAAGTTGTGTCTTGCTAGTTGCAGTGTTAGCTGGGGATTTAATTTGACCACAAGGTGCTTGTTACCGTCAGATTTTTCTTATATTGGTTGAGAAAATAATGAGTCGTTGGCAATTTCATGACCAAGTTTAAACATAAATTAAGAAATACTAGCACAAAGCGTATGGCTAATTCTAGTCTTAAAATATTAATTAGCTGCATATATGGAAGTATGATGTTATTCCATTTGAACCTTTATAATTTAACTTCTCATGAACTAAAATGGCTCAAGGATATGATTAATATTAGTGATTTTTTAGTGCATGGAAAATTGAAGTAATTACTTCTCGTCCTGTTCAATATTTGACACCATTTATTTTCTAGCTGTACAACATTATTATTATTATTTTCTTTAGTGGTTGAAGATAATTCGAGGGAGCTAGGTACGGCCACCTCTTACCAGGTATGATCATATAGGAGTTAGGGAAGTTATGCTAATTAGGGAAGCCTTGACTTTTTTTAATTAACGATATATTAATATTTTTTTTTCTAGGATGTCAATCTATAAATGTAATTTAAAGATTAGGCTTTGTTCATTGTTATTTTTGTTACGTAATTGTTTGTCTGCATTTCTTTAGGGAAAAGGGATTTGAATACTGCTAATAGAAAACCAAAAAGAAAAAGGAAATTGAACATTTTCATCTATAATTGAATTTGGGGTGTGAGCTAATGGAAGCTTGATTTCCTTGCCAAAATAGGTTGGTCAACTCAATACCAGCGGTTTCTGACTGGTCACACAACTTGCCACAAGAACATAAAAGAAAATTAAAAGCAAAAGCAGAATGTGTAATTTGAAATTTACATACGTGATCAAATGAAAGAAAATTGAACAATATGCTATGTAATTAAATATAGAAAATGCCTGCATGCATGCATGCATCTGAAACGAATTAGGTAATCACTATTATTACTTCCCATGAGAAATTAAGAAACAAATCAAGTACAAAATGTTTGCAACGATAATATCTAGTGCAAGTAAAATCAATCGGTGTAATTTCCCCATGTATTATAGAATTCGTCCGTGGTAAAGCTAGAAAAGGTAAAAGATTGCTGGCTTAATTGAAATGGCATGCATGAAAGTGAAAGGATGCTACCCTCTTCTTTTTCCATTTTGATTAGGCTGGACTAGGTCTCTGGACCCCAGCCCCAGCGCCAGCTCCAGGTCGTTTAACTGATGCATGAACCATGGTTGACGTCCGTAATATTAAAAGAGTGAACGCTGACCTCCGCCGAAGCCGCCACCGGCCCACCTGCACCTGTTTCATTTCAACGCTGGCTTGCAGCCAAGGAAAAGTAATATGTGAACTCAATTTCTCAAAACCTTTAGGGCCTGCATTTGTCTCTGGAAGATGCTTAATTTCTCCGGTTGAGACCGTTGTCATCAATTTGTTAGAAATGTTGTCAGAGGCTCTATCGAATTTGCAAGGTATTCACATGGGAATGTAAAGGATATATATTGAGCTAATGCATGGGAGAATAATCAAATAAACGGCATAACCATATCCACATATTAATGTATGGATATTTACAAGAGAAAGCATAACTTTGTGTACAAAACAAGACAAACAAATAGAAAACATGTTTGGTTAACTAATGATGGAAAATTAAGAAATATATTAAGGTAAGGCTTGATTAAAAATTTTCTATTTTTATCCTTATTCTAACAAATTTGGTGGAAAAAGCAAAATAAGTCTTAATCACAATAATCATCTACTCTCTTTCTCTCTTGTTATCTTTGATTCCTTTCTCTTTTGAGAAACATAATTCCATTGTTATTAACAATAAAAACATAAATGCGCTTTCGAATCTACTGTCATAAACGACTAATCGTCGACTTGGTATGAAATTATAGCTACATGGCATTGGCATTGCCATAGAAGCGCAGGGAACACCAAACATTACACTGGCCAAGAATACACACTTAGCAGCAACCCCAAAAGGATCCCCAATAAGAACTGTGATAAAACAATTCCCCTAATCAAAACAATCCAAATATGGTTCAATACAGCTTGTCCTTTCATCTTAATTTGCCTTCATTTCTTTCTTTCTTTAATTAACCATCTAAACACGGAATATTACCGAATTAGATCAGGTCAATAGCAACCGATTGTGGAGAGGTATAAAAGAAGATTAACAAAAGGAAAGAAAATTAATATGCATGTGGCTTTGAGGCAGATCAATCATTTATCAAATATTATTCAAAGCAGTGCTCAAGCAGCAAAATCTTAACAAATTAAATTCTTCTCAATTTAATTTACTGTGTTAAAAAAAGATTAACTCTTTAATCTCAAAATTAAAAAAACAATTCGTCAACAATCAATTAAACAAGCTAGGCAAATGATGAATTGATGCCAAATTGAGTTAATCAACAGCTTGTCAATAAGTTGTGAAGTGAGTATCCAATCAATTTTCCAAACATAAAACAAAATTCTTTTGCCATAAATTATACAATTTTGTGCAGGCATTAGTTTTTTGCCCGTGTATGTTGCTTTTGCTATTTAATTTTCTCAATGAACAATTATGTACATAATTATATTGTAAAAGAAAGAAGAAAAAATTGAAAATCCTTTGCGTCTCTCTGATCTATAGTTTTCTCCTTCTCAAGCTGGATAGTAAGAGAGCAGATTGATTGGTACGCAAGGAGAATTCTTCCATGCTTTAGCATGCAACTTAAGCACCTCTCTGGCCCTCTCTTTAGTCTTGTATCCACAATCCACTTGAAGCACCAAGCACAATTTAGCCACGACACCTAATTGCAGCATCTCTTGAAGCACATTGGAAGTGGCACAGAACTTGGAAATAGACAGCAGAATTCTCACTGCCCTTTCACTTGCAACCTGGGAAACCCTAAGTATCTTCTTTGAAACAATTGCAAGCCCCGCTCCATGCCTTAGCAGCTCGGCTCGTCCTTCGGCGCATCCACATACGGCATCCAGCACTGTTAGTATCATCTCACAAGTCCTTCTCTCTGATGAATCAAGAAGCAAGTCAATCAAGACAGATACCGCGCCGGCTTCAGCTGCCTTAATCTTGTTTCTTCCCCATGGGCTGATGCTGACCAGCAACTGTAGAGTAGCTTTTGAGGCTTGCTGAGAAATTTGATCGCGCAAAACTTGAATCAATTCGACGAACAATTCAGGTCTCAAGCTGATGAGTTGCATCGGATCAGCTATCTCCAGCATTGACTTCAACAACAATACTGCATAAGCCCGAGACTCGTAGCTTCCACGTTGCATTACTCTCGTTAAGGAGACTATGAAATCACCATTTTTGCGCATGAGATTCTTGAGAGCAGCTTCTGAGAGTTGGAGATTGTAGAGAATGGTTAAAGCCTCATCAGTTGGTCTTGTTGACTCAAACTCGTTATCAAATGGTTCTTCAGCTGCAGTAAAATCGTAATTGCTGACAATTGAAGCCAAGAACTCAACTGCGCCTGAACTTTCCATGCATCTTTTGTTTGTAGCATTCTCAGAAGCGATCGATTGTAGCGTCCTAAGACACTTTATCTGTTGATGTGGTGACTTGGCATCATTGAGGAGCTTGGTTATCTGAGCTTTGCTGATGGGTGGCTTTGGCGTTGGGATTCTTTCGATTCCATGGGAAGCATTTAACATGCACCAAGATTGAATCAATCTCCTCAGGGTATGATTTGGGGTGAGGTCGCAGTCTGCAATAACTTGCTTTGTAACCGGACATGTGTTGTTCTTCCCTGAAAACAACCATTTCTCGATGCTCTCCCTGTCGTATGTAATCCCGGTTGAAACCGTAACAGGATCCTTCATAATCTCAAGAGAAATGGGACAGATAAAAAATGGAGGAACATCAATTTCATCCATTCTGAAACCACACAAGAAGCTTGAAACCAAGGTTTCAAGAAAAACCCAGACAAGAAAAAGCTAAACTTTGTGTAAAACAAGAGCTGAGAATCGGATTGGAGGAAGTTGAATTGGAGCTGTTGAAGATGTAGTTGGTATGAACTTTGAAGACGAATTGGAGGATGATTCAGAGGGGTTGGATTACATATATATGGTATGCGCGGGGGGGTGAGAGAGGATATTCAAAACCTGAGAAAGTCAAAAACACGGAAATGGTTTTGCAACGCTCTTAAGACTTTTCCAAGGCATTGGCAAGGCTCAAGGATGACAACTACAACTACTACTAGTACAACTAACATTTTGCCGGGTGCTGAATGGCTCAGATTTTTTTATAATTTTGGCATATGCTTCAATTGCAAATACAACAAGTATTATTACCACCCTTTTGACTTTCTCTGTCTAGAACACTCGGTCGATCTTATCGGAGTTTCTCTCTCTACCTCGTGCTTCTTTTTAACTCAAAACGTCATCACCTGCCGACAAATTCAAATGGGGACGCCGCATTTGGCTGCGTCAGCTCCCATGCTACAACACTCCTTCGTTTTTACTCTGCTTGGTTGTCCACCTCTTTTGACCAGGGAAGGTTTCTCTTTACAAAAACAACAAATAAAGAAGATTCCTACCTTTTATTGTTATTTTGTTTTCTAGGATAGATTTATATTTATCATATATTTAGGTTTTCTTGCCTGTGTGGCTGATGAGGATGATCAATATGATTTTGTCCTCGTTAACTTAATCTAATGGAAGGTCAGAAGCATCTGATTATATACTGGGAAAAAAAAAATTAGAAAACCTCGTCTAAGGAAAGGAATATTTCAACATAATAACCCTAGCTACCCTGTATACCAAATTTAATGGTAACGATGAGATAATGTTTTTCCTTTCTCCCCTCCATCCTCAGGAATTGGAATGGGTAAACGTTATGTGATTCATTTTCGTCATTTGTGCAATTCTCCCGAAAAGTAATCACAATGGTATCTATTATTGGCATATTAAGACGTTTGGAATAGGTAAGCACAATTACTAGATCAACTACATTTGCAAGGAAGAAGTAAACGATTATTTAAGTTTATCATTTATTTAATGTCCTTAGACTATATAGTTTAAAATATACGTGTATATATATATATCTATATTTATTGAGTGCTCACTAATAGCGAGCCTATTGATATATTTTTTGTACCATAGATAATTCTGTTGTTTCTCTTGGGGAATTTTTGTTTATGGGTGACATGTGTGAGGAATGTATAGAATATGCTATCTCTCTTTTTCTGTCAATTTTGTACAGGGGAGGTAGAGAATATTGGGTGCTAGAAAGGATGGTCATGTTGACCCCCTATATTTTGTACAGGCAGTAAATTGGTTGATCTTTTTTGTATTTGTACAGTTATTAAATATAATGAAATTCGTATATATATATATATATATTGTAAAAACAAAAACTTTATGATTAGAATGTAAATGTTACATGATTAGACTATTATTTAATTTCTTTTCTTTTTTGACATAATATATTATAAGTTTCTTATGTACAAAAGAGATGTATGAAAAGCAAACCTCTTTTAACTTTTAATATTTTTTTCCTTGAGAATTAGGATGAATTAACTTTTTTATTTCTCGGCTGAGGTAGGGTTTTCCCTTCTTGTGCTTTATTACTGTCCTAAGGTAGTTTTTTTGTAATGAAATCAATATTAATTTATGGTGTTTTTTTAAAAGTGAATTTGAGTCTGTTTCAATATCTAGAACAATTCGTACTTCCTTCTTATATAAATAATAGTCTAAGTTTTTCAAAAAAAACAACAAAACTCTATCAACTACATAACCACGCAAGCAATCAAAATCAGTGATAAACATAGTTTTACTTTTTTTCTCCGACGTAAACAGTAAGTTAGCCCACAGCTTGGAAAAACTTGCGAATAAGAATGAGGCACACATGTTTCATGCAATGTCCCGCAGGCCACAGAAGTGATCTCCTTGGCTGGTGGCTACCCTTATCTTTATCTAAACACTAACTTTATTATTTTTAAAAAATTATCCCCAGATAAACAGAAAACCAAAGACAGAGATATGCGCACCCACACATCACACACGTTAGTGGTTGCGTTACACGTCGGGGCCAGCCGCCAGCCAACTCAACTGCTAAAACCAAAGCATATCATTTTCTCAACGCAACAACTTGCCCATGTTGTTTTCCCAGCCGTGTTTGGGCAGTGTTTTGTCTTTGCCACGACTTAAGACTTGTTATACATTGGAGATAGTTATGAATTTAAAGTTCTACATTAAAAGTGATTAAGAATGTGATTTATAAATTTAAAGTTATATATATAATAAAAAAAAAATAAAAAAACTGTTACCACTCTAACTCTATCGTTAATTACAGACAAATCTGGATCTACCATTCACTCACCTTTCTTTTTTTTTTTCTTTTGCCTTTTTAAGTTTGTTAGAAGAAAATAAAATCTTATATAATATAAAATAGTAAATCTGAATTATATATTAAAAAATCTTAAATATATATAAAGTTAATTCTAATCTTATTAATAATCTTTTTGTTTTCCTGCAGGCTACAGTTTGAGTAGGAAGACATTGTTGTTCTTCTTTGTTCCTTTTGATTAATGAAGACTGTTGTGTGTTTTTTTTAAATAACAGTATTATAGTATAATTTTAATTTTTAATTAAATAATAGTATTGTACAATAAATTTAATTAAACATAGTTTGTCTAATTATTTGAATAGAGTTGTTATGAGTTCAAGAAATGTTCATATATGAGCCCACCAAAGAGAAAAAATAAAAGGGGAAATTGAATTGTTAGCACTGCCAAGAAGTTATTAATTATTCTTTAATTTCTCTTGTTTTGGGGTTGAACTCTTTTGGAAGTCAACCCACTAACTCAATGCCAAGTGGCTACAAAAATGAGTTGTGTCAAATAGTAATAGGAAACACCACATGGTTTGAATCTTACAGTTTGAAAATCAGAATTTCGCCTTTGGAAAAATCGTCCATTCCGTTGTCAAAGCAAACGGTACTTTTCCCTATTTAAGTCTGTCCTATCACTGTAGTAAATGCACCTCAGAAAAGGTTTCCCCCTGAGAACCCCGAAGACGAGTAGCATGGCTCAACAATCTCTAGTCTACAAAATGAAGTTGCCCTTCTCATTCCTATAATCATCTTCTCCAGGAAATTAAAATGAATATTCTTCTTCATTATTTGAGTATCTGATCTGATTAAGCATAGCTGGGATACGGGCTTGGCATGGAATTAAAATTTTTTATGGGTTTACCTGCTAAAACTTATTGATTTTTTAAATTTAATTTCATATTCGAGAAAAGAAGATATTCAAAGGAGAGTATTGAATCAATATATAGTGAATGATTTGATAGTTACTAAAATCATTGAAATTGAATTTACTTATCTAAAAAATTTATATTCAACTTCTCCTCAAGTGACATCTTTTTATTCAAGTATTTATGTACGGATCTACATTTTCATCATAAATACATAATTGTTAAGTAAAGGAAAATTATACCTATAAACTTAAAATTTATTACATTTTTTAATAACGTGAGATGTGTGATAATAATGAAAGTCCATGATAATGATATCATTCTTACATTAATAGGTAAATTTGAATATTTAATAAATACTAACTATTGAATTAGAAAACTTAAAATTTAGAAAATTTTAAACCATATGTTAATAAGACTTGACTAATCTCAATTATCATTGATAAAAATTTGGGTTCGGACAAAGTGAGCAAAAGATTGTGTCTCTTTGCTTTTAATTAAAACTGTAATGATATTAATGGAAAACTGAAGAGAAGAGAAAGAAGCCGAATGAACAATTATTGGGTTTGTCATATTGAGGGTGGTTAAATTTTCTCAATTAGGAAATTGATTCCCCCTTCACCAAGACATTTCCTCACGTGCTATAAATTCGTAGTGCTAGTTGTTACAATGATTATTCAATTCGAAAACTATGGTTTTAGACCAAATTAATGCCTTTTCAAATCAAGTGTCCTCGCCCCTCGGGAATCACGTGACCCTTCGCGTTCTACCGTGTCTTCCCTCCGTGGTAACTCTGTCCCTCCTTTTTTTTTTTTTCAGTATCTAATTTTTTATTCGTTTTCTTATTTTAGTTTCTTTTAGTCACAAGAATTAGAAATTCAAGAGTGTTTATAACTTTTTGAGTACTTATTTAAATAATTACGTTTTAGTTTTCTTTCTTCAATTAATAACATTAAAAACTCAAGAATAATTAATAATAGAAATTAGTATGCCCTACCCACTTGTTTGAAACTTTGAGTTAAGGAGAGGATGGTTGCAAACGTAAATAATTAAGTGCACTAGAATAAAAAAAGAAGTGCTAAGAAATTATAGAAACGGAACATGTTAATTTTAAACGTGCAAGTCAAATCTGGTAATGATCAAGTTATTCATAAACTTCAATTTTCTTTTAGGATACATTTCGCTATCCTATACACAAGTCCACTTCCATTTTAAGAAAGAAAAATCAATTTAGTATTTTTTAATACAATGATAATGAATGCATATATAGTCTAAATTTATCATCAATAATATTTGATATTACAATTAGTGAACCCTTTGAGGGTGGCTCATTTGTCATGCATGACAACCTTTCTTTCAAAGAAGTATTAATGTTGTCCGGTGATGGTGCGCTTTTTTTGAAAACAACATATACCCAAATGAGGAGATAGAGAATGCCAATAACGAGGAGCACAAAAGCGAAATTGAGGAAAATCCTGATGGCTTCAGATTTGAAACAGTAGACGACATTCCCTCAATTCTGATCTCAAATAGAAAACAAGAAGAGCTAGCTAGGTGGTGGCGTAAATCGATTATCGTGCGGATGCTCGGTTGCCCAATATCATATAGGCTTCTATGTAACAGAATTGTTGTTCTCTAGAAACCTAAAAATAGATACGTTGCGGTGGATTGATAACTCTAAGATATAGAGTTTTTTTGACTTAATTTTGATAATAAATTAATGTAATTCTTGTATTAATGTATAAAAATTAGTAAATTTTATTTAATTATTTTAAATTATTTAATTTAGGTGAGTTAATTTAATCTTAGTTAATTTTATACTTAA